TCCGCGTACTAAAGTTGCACTACAAAGTCGCCAGTTCTCAGCTTCCAGCTTCACAGATTGCTCCGCGTACTAAAGTTGTACTACCACGTCGCCAGTTCTCATCTTCCACCTCGCCAGCTACTCCGCCGTACTAAAGTTGCACTACGAAGTCGCCAGTTCTCAGCTTCCAGCTCCGCAGATTGCTCCGCGTACTAAAGTTGTACTAGAAAGTCGCCAGTTCTCATCTTCCAGCTCTCCAGATACTCCGCGTACTACAGTTGTACTACAAAGTCGCCAGTTCTCAGCTTCCTGCTCCACAGATTGCTCCGCGCACTCCAGTTGCACTACAAAGTCGCCAGTTCACAGCTCCCAGCTCCCCAGCTACTCCGCGTACTACAATTGTACTACAACGTCGCCAGTTCTCATCTTCCAGCTCCCCCCACTAGTCCGCGTACTAAAGTTGTACTACAAAGTCACCAGTTCTCATCTTCCACCTCGCCAGATACTCCGCGCACTAAAGTTGTACTACAAAGTCGACACTCCTCATCCTCCCACTCCCCAGCTACTCCGCGCACTAACGTTGTACTACCAAGTCGCCAGTTCTCATCTTCCAGCTCCCCAGCTACTCCGCGTACTAAAGTTGTACTACGAAGTCGCCAGTTTTCTCAGCTTCCAGCTCCACAGATTGCTCGGCGCACTAAAGTTGTACTAGAAAGGCACAATCTCCGCAGAGCTTTGCGCGCGCACAGATTAAATCGCACTCTCGCCTGCATCTCGCGCACTCGACACGCACGATCTCCGCAGAGGGTTGCGCGCGCACCGCGCATATCGCGCTCTCGCCTGGAGTTCGCGCACTCGACACGCACGATCTCCGCAGAGGGTTGCGCGCGGACCGGACGAGCGGCGCTCTGGCCTGCATTTCGCGCACTCGACACGCACGATCTCCGCAGAGGGTTGCGCGCGCAGCCGGCAAATCGCACTCTCGCCTGCATTTCGCGCACTCGACACGCACGATCTCCGCAGAGGGTTGCCCGCGCACCGCACCAATCGCACTCTCGCCTGCATTTCGCGCACTCGACGCGCACGATCTCCGCAGAGGGTTGCACTTTCGGTTGACGCTGTTCGTCCCACTCTCCGCCTTAAAGAGAGAATTTATAAAGTGGGGATATGTTTTTTCATTAGGACATCTCCCGTGGTAATTTTTGCATATTTTCCATACTCGCACTTGCCTACTCATTGCATGCTTGCATACTCATTGCATGCTTGCATACTCATCACTTGCACACTTACACTTGCACACTTACACTTGCATACTTCCACTTGCACTTGGCTGCTTTCGCTCTTCCACTTACACTGGGGTACGTATAGCGTTCATGTTGTCGCGCAAGTGTGGTGAAAGTGTCAGCGTGTAAGTGTAAGTGTCGAAGTGTCAGTGTTCAAAGGATTTTCCGGAAGAACCCTTCGCAGTGCTTTCGGGAAAAATGTTTCGATGGTTTAATTCTAACCGAGATAATGTTTCGAATTTAGGTGGTGAAACCCAGCATCCAAGCTGCAAAGCGTACATGGTATTAAACATCTAGCAGCGGCACGCCGCAGCGGCACCAGCACTCAGGCTCCAAAGAGCGCACATAGGCACCTCACTGTCGAACCTACTTGAAGTAAGAACTTAAGAAGTTGTGTGCGCGGTGGAGACAGGGTGCCGTGGCTGTGCGCGTGGTGGAGACAGGGTGCCGGTGCTGGGTGCCGGGCGCCGGTGCTGGTGCTGGCGCTGTCAGCTGGCTGCGCGCGTGGTGGAGGCAGAGTGCAGCTGGCAGTGCGCGTGGGCGCGCCGGTGCTCGGTGCTGGCGCCCGCTTCTGACAGTGGAGTGATAACAACCGCCGCTTCTGACAATGAAGTGCCAGCAGCCATGGGCCGCATGAAATTATGCGCGCAACATCATACGGTGTTGTCGCTTGAGCGTTCTTTGTCTATTAGCGCTGTGGGGTATTTACACTCTTCAGGTTCTGTTTTGGCCGACAGCTGTGTCAAGGGCCGCACTGTTTGCGCGCATGCATACTTTTGTACGTATAATGTATAATGTTCTATGCGCAACGTCAGGCTCTCAACCGACCATTGTTTCAGCATGCTACACACACAATAGTTGTGCTGGATACTGCTTGGCCTTGGGCGAGTGAAGCCTACGGGCTTTGCCATTTGTGCGCATAAACTTATACGCGCAAGATCATACGGCCTTATCGTTCTACAGATCGTTGCTTCAAGCATGCTACAACGTCAATAGTGGCGCTGGATACTGCTTGGCCTTGGGCCAATGACACTTACAGGCTTTGCTGTTTGAGCGCGTACTTTTGTGCGCATAAACTTGCACGCGCAAGACCATACGTTGTTGTTTTCCAAATAGGGATAGCTATGGGGTTCTTGCTGCAAATAAGAATGAGCTGGCTGCGCGCGCTTTCGAAAGGGTGCTTGTGCTGGTGCCGGTGTTGTGGTCCTGCATGCTGGTTCTGTGAGCTGGCTGAGCGCGCGCTGGTCGGGTGCTGGCGCCGCTGCCGGTGTTGTCAGCTGGCAAACAAATCGCACCGGTGCTGGTGTCAGCTGGTTGCGCGCGCTGTGGAGGTGCTGCCTAGCTATCTGGGTCTATGCTGGTGTTTTTTTCCAAATGTTGTTGGGAATCATCCATGCACACCAATAGCTATGGGTGTAGATGATGCGCGGCCTTCCACGTCATTCATCCTGCTCTTCCCCAATCCTTCCAAGTGAAAGGGATATAGACACTCATGGTTACCCTTCAGCCAAGGGGTTCCAAGAAGCATGGCCTCATACACGCATGGACACGGGAATGCGAATGCCAATTCTCCCTCCCGCTGTTGAGGTGCGTTCGAATGAATGCCTGGATCAGCCTGGGGCTTAGCCAGCAGGATTCCGGATTTCTACGCGATCGAGTTTCAATCTGGCAGCTTCGCTTGCGCACACTGCGGCGCACAGCAGTCTTCTTGACGTGAAAGTCTCCAGAATCCTCAACAGGTGCAAAATGCTTGGGTCTCGACTCGTTGACAAAGTGTCTATTCACTCTAGACATCTCTCAAGCGCAGACTGTCCACTTCTCACACGCCTTTCAAGGCCGAGGTCATTCCCGATTTCAAAGAGCCAAAGATGTGAAGACGTCACATGCCAAGCGATTTGTCACTCCACACTCCGCCATGTCGACCGAGACATCGTGCAAGGCCGTGCTCGAGAGAGAGAGAGAGAGATCGTGCATGTGTCCATCCAGGATTGAAGGACCTTCGACCAGGATCGACTTGGAGGGCAGTCAACGTAGAGCGTAAGAGAGTTGCAATTGCTGCCCAATGGGGAGCGCATGAAGTTGATGATTCACGTTGATTGTAATTGACAGGAGACAATGGCTCAAGTTTGCATATTAGTCCAATGGAAACATATGGAGTAGCACAATATTGAGCGTTTAAGGATTGGAGAGTCGGTTGTCGTGAGGAGCTCTCTTTCAGTGGCAACATGTGTTTGACTCGTTCGTTTGTGTCATGACGTCACCCTCCAAGCCATGGCGTCGCTTCATCCGTGCGTCGCTTCCGCTTCGCCTTGGAGAAACTTCCGCTTTCACCTCGCGGCGCTTTCACCTCGCTGCCATCGCAGTGATGTCTCCGATGGCAGCGCGAGCAGAGCTGTCCCCCCCCTTAGAACGCGTCACCAAGAGATATGCAGAGAAGATTCAAGGTGCAATGGACTTTTTGTACTTTGACATCAAGCCACTTGTCATGACTTCTTTGGCCCTTTCAGGCCCTTTCCCACCCAAACGCCACGGAACAAGCTGTCACTTCCGGTTCTCGATCTGTCACCGCACATCTCGAATCAAATGTCCTTGCTTTCTACAATCACTACGCAATCGTAACCACGGAGGCATATCCTGGAGCTGCCTTCTCAGCTGTCCACTAGTCACTATACTTTAACGTGCAAAAGAATGGTGGCATATTTGCTGTCAGGCATATTGAGTCAGGCATATAAGGCCCGTGGCTGTCAGAAACTCTAGCTACCCCTCGACACTCGATGCTCGAATCGCGACCGGCTGAGACCCTATGTGCGTGGGGGTCCGCGGCTTTTTCAGCTGGCGATCAACGCTTTGGATACCTCCAATGGCTCCAACACCGCACTGGAGCGGGATTTGTTTGCTCCCTTGCGACAGCTCGTGCTGGCAGGTGAAGAAGATGGAGAGGTGGACTTTCGTCACCCATCTAAAAGAAAGACCGGACTTCCGTCAGGGGAGCAGGTTAAAAGAAAAATATATAGAAAAAATAGTATTGTTACTGTAAGGCCAGGAGCCCCCAGTCCTTGCTCCGCTCGTAGCGATGCCCTTTGTTCCATTCGTAGCGTCCTTGGACCGGACTTCCGTCGCCTTGAGTTTTTCAGTCAAAGTGTTCCCGGAAAAGCCTCGCGGTGGCCTCGCCAGATTGCTTTTTGGGTTCGAACTCCTTCAGTCTTGGTTTGGGGATCTCGTGTCTATCAAGTTCGTTTCTAAAAATGTGAGGCCCAGCTTCGCAGAAGATCGAGGCATCAGCAAAGGCGCTCACCGCTGCAGCCCGTGACCGGCAAGTGGACGAGGCTGTGGCAGCCAGCGATGTGCTCATCGCTGATCTCAGTGGCCTCGCAATTGTTCAAATCATGCTTATTTGTTTGTTTTTTCTCACTTTCGAGTCAGTTTACACTCGTTCCAGAGTTTTTAGCAGAGGTGTTGAACCTCCGAAATTGAAGTCCACTGAATTACGGCGTGGAAACCCCAGATGGGTCTCAAAAACGAGCTAGATAGGGATGAAGTGATTCTTGATTGCTTTTCGGCAGTGCGCCTGAAGCGTTGTTCGGGTGACTAGGAAGGTTGGGCGCATCTTACAGCTGAGCTTTGCCGGTTCGGACTCTTTTCAGTTTTGAGAACGACCGGACCAAGGTAGCCTCTTCACGAGCGTCAATAAGGACAAGGGTGCTCCCAGTTCCTTCGCCCGGCGATGTCGAAGTCAAGTTTGAGAACGCGCTCCTTTCAGTTCCCTTCTAATTCATATTCCTTTTTGGAAGGAAGTTGTGGTTGGGAATGATATCAGTAAACAAGCAATGCAACCAACACAGATAGCAGGTTTCCCGTTTATGGAAATTGTATATTATAGCTTTTGTTGAGTACAGCAAGTCAAGCAGAAAACAAATCTGTGAAGTTGAAATGGAACAATTTGCTGCTTGACATGTCACATCATTTGACTTAGTGAAGCGGTCGTGATTGCAAACCGCAGGAGGCTGGCTCCAAAGTTTTTCTATTGCCAAATGATCCCGACTACGAAACGCGATTGGATGCCTATCGCAGCAGGATGGCTGAAGGGAAGACTAAGAGGCTCGGAAATGAATTGAGATGATCCAGTTTCCACCACGGGAGCTAACAGCTAAGTAGTGGAAGCAAAGACTGCACTCCTAGAGTTTATACAGTGATTCTTTGTTCCCCCGGTTCATACACTGCCTACACTGCCATCACCTTCTCCACATATCTATTGAATCCCACGGTTATACTGCCCCAGCCGAGGAATTTGATGAAGACAGACGACTGAATCTCAAGCTGAACCGCACGTAAACGGCCTGGTGCAAGAAAGGGCGCTGAACAAGCCGACAAGCCGCATAGGAGCCACTTGATCGAACTTGGCAACATGTGTCACTACAAGTTGATTTGCCATCATAATATGTCGAATGCCAACGAGAGATTTGCTATGAGGTTGTTTGTGTATGCACAACCAGATTCACTCTTTGACTGTTTGAGCGGCCGAATTGACTCACACATGATTCAGAATCACCGAATCACCCCTGCAGTGTTCTGTTCGTTTTTGAAGTGTCACACTCTTCAAGAGAAATCAGCATTTTTGGGTTTTCTGTGTCCACAATGTTTTGTGGTTCAAAATATCTTGGAGGATAATGTTGCAGATCTGCCACTTCAGCGCTGTTCATTAAGTGCTAGGTTTGGAATACTCGACTCTTCCTAATCAGATAGCATTGCCTTAGCCACATTTTGGTCATCGTCCAATGCTGCCGATTTGGTGCAAGTGTGACAGAGGGTGGACTGCAAACAATCAGGCAAAGAGACCCTAGAAGCACTAGGCTGACTGAAAACCTCATGCATTTGTTTAAGATACTGAGATAACTGTTCCAATCCCTTGACAAATGACCTTGCGACCTCTTGCTTTTCTTCCAGTGCTGGTATCCACATGATGCGCAGACGTGAGCGCTTCCCTGTAGCTTTCGTGTTGACTTGAGACCAGGGCTTGTTAAGAAGAAGCTTTACAAAACGGTAAAGTACATTACAAGTACTTGCATGTTTGAGAGGCTTATATCCTCGAGGTCACTTGATTTCCAATTGGTGATTAGCTGACACATAGGCCTACCATGGCCTACCTTGCCAAAAACGATATATATAATACTCCAAAAGTTTGCTCCTTGGTCTCACAGCAAAGCAACCCCCCCGGTGAAAGACCGTGCTTTCTTGCGATCCAGTCATGTGGTCATAGTGTGCGAGTTGCATGGAACCCCGTGAACGCCACTGAAGTGACATGTGAGGGGTTCTAGAAACTTCAGCTTCGTGGCTCAAAATGTTTCGAATGCTTCGCGGCTTCTCCTCTCCTCATTGTTGTGCTTGTCTTCGATGTTTTTCGTCTCTCGCATTGCCTCGGCTGCGTTTGCGTGGTCTGCCCTTTGATGCCACGGTGCACGACGTGCTCGGCTTCTTCAATGGATTCCGTTTGGCGGCAACGCCCACCAGCGCAGTACAGATGTTGCGAGGACGACACCGGCGGCCAACGGGACAAGCTTTTGCATACTTCGATGATGTGATTGAGGCCATGAGAGCCACTTGGCTCTTTAACTAGAAGCTTCCTTGGGAATGAGGAGGTAATTGAGGCCATGACACGTGACGGTAACCAGCTACAGCTGCCTAGCTACAGTGGTCGTTACAGCGGCCTATCATTCGGTTTTGGGTACCGGGTACATGTTGCTTTCTTCTTTGATCTCTTACCACGCCCATCGCACCTGATATCGTGATTTTTGTTAAAACATGCTTCCCAGTGCTGAGTTACTAGGCACAAGAAGAGACTTGACTGGTGTCATGATGTGTGATGTTTCTCGATTTATCGCTTTCATCTCGGTTTCATCTCGTTTGTAAAGGGTGTCATCGTGTCACCCGCTTCGATGTGGAAATGTTCGGGTCTACCGTTCAGAAACGGCAAAACGGCAAAACAGCCTTCCCCCTCGAATCAAGTTCCACAACGCAAAGCCTTTTACACGTGCAACAGTCTGACAATCGGCACGAATTGAACCTGATTTGATCCGCTGACTTAAGTGTTTCCTGTGATAACCGGGAAGAAGTCAAAAAGAACAAAGAGTTGTTTGCCTGAAATATTTTTGCTTGTGGCATATGTATGGTAAAAATATAATGATTATTGCTTATTGTCTAGACCTTTTTCCTTTGATGTTCTTTGTCTTGACGTTTTGTCGAGGCAAAGGATGCACTGGATGGCCAAGTTTGTTGCGTCGTTGGAACGAGGGTATATCGACTTGAAGTGCTGGAAGACTTTCGTGGGTCTCGAGCCATGATCACCGACGAAGATGTTCCTGGGGACATCGTAGAGGAAAAGCTACGAGACCAAGTTCGCAAGTCAATGGTCGGCTTGAAGTATAAAGAGAAAGAGGAGATGAAGAGGTTTAAATTTAGACAATGGTGAGCATTAGCACAAAAGCCTAATTGGCATATGTCTCACTGCAAGTTGGAAGCTGCGTGAAGCAAAAGAGGCTTTTTGCTGTTTGCCGTTTCAGAAGCCACAGCACCACGAAAAGATTTTCACGGGAGGCAGAGGGTTTTTCGAAGATGCCGTAAGGGGATCCACAACTCCGCCTCATGTGGCGAAGCAAGTTGTTGCAAGTAAGATCAAGTATACAAATTGTATTTGTGGACAAGACCGAAGGGTTGTCCACTAGGAAAGGTTCAGTTTTCTTCCACTTGCTGTCCTCAGTCGGGGCAGATGAGGGCCAAGCATTTGGGTTTCGGAGATGGACTACGGCCATGGCTTCACGTCCAAACAGCTTGTCTCACACATTCCGATCGGGTCATATCGAAAAAGGCTGCAAGGAGTCCGATCAATGTGTTGGCATCATTTTTTGCTATCCGTTTTGTTCATTTGGGAGTTGTCCTGACCGTCCACCACAGCCTGTTTTGCTCCTTGCGGGCCACGAAGCAGACACGAATGATGCGATTTGCCAAGTGAGGAATGAGAGGTTCTTCAAATGATTTTTAAAAAAGAAATAGCCATCCTTTGGCAGGTTTTGCCTCACACGGTGAGAGTCCAACTTGTTACGGCCGAGCACCAGTCAAGGTCCACCAGTCCGATGGTATAC